ATATTGTTGCTAGAGAGAGTGGTAAACGAACAATGTTGACTGCATTTTTTGACATAAATAAAGAAGACGAGAGTGCAAGACAACATTTATATAAAGACTTTCCAAAACATTACACATGGAATGCGAGCGCACTTCGTTGGAATCAGAGAAAACAAGGATCAATGATAGGACGATTGGTTTATGCTAATCCCGCCGAAGGAGAGCGGTACTACCTACGCCTGCTTTTATCTTATATTAGTGGGCCAACATCTTTTAAAGATCTATTCACTGTCAATGGCATATTATACCTGACATTACAGAAAGCAGCACTTGAGAGAGGCTTAATAGAGACAGACGATAACTTATCACAATGTCTTGCAGAGGCTTTTTTATTTCAGTTTCCTAAAGCTCTAAGGAGGCTATTTGCGACAATATTAAGTTATTGTGAGCCAGGAGATGTTCGCAAGTTGTGGGATCAACATTACGATTCACTTTCAGAAGATTATAGACGACAATGCGAAAGTGTTGACCGAGTTCRRAATATGGTCCTAACTGACATCACAAGCTTTCTACAATCTATGGGTAAAAATCTTGATGATTTTGATCTTCCCAAGATAAATGTAGATACCAACTTTCAATTTGGAAGTTTATCTTCCCAAGATAAACGTAGATACCAACTTTCAATGTGGAAGACGAACATTTACGTGCCCGAGAATCTCTTAATTTTGACCAAAAATACGCATATGATGAGAGCATGAAGCACGTAGACGATGATCGTTCAGGAGTGTTCTTCATAGATGGTCCAGGGGGGACTGGAAAAACGTATTTGTACAAAGCATTGCTTGCCAATATTCGTTCTCATTGCTCTTGTCACTGCTTCTTCAGGTGTTGCAGCTAATAATATGCCTGGGGGAGAACAGCTCACTCCCGATTTAAAATTTCCCTTAATCTTGATAACAACTCCATGTGCAACATAAAAAAACAAAGCGGGACTGCTCAATTGCTACGGGATGCAAAAATAATCATTTGGGACGAAGCGTCAATGGCTAAGAGGTAGGCGGTGGAGGCGCTTGATCGAACAATGCAAGACATCACATGGGTGACACTACCATTCGGTGGAAACATAATGGTTATGGGAGGTGATTTTAGACAGGGTCGTGAGACGTGGAACCCGAGCACAGATTGTAGATTCAAGCCTACGAATGTCACCTCTTTGGTCTTCAATTAAAAAAATACGTTTAACTCTCGATATGAGAGCACGAAGTGATCCATGGTTTTCAGATTTTCTATTACGAGTGGGTGATGGAGATGAAGAAATGATGGAAGAAAGCTTTATACGTATTCTCGATGACATGGCCATTGCCTATACTGATAAAGATAAATCAAAGCATGATTTGATTGACGCAATATTTCCGTCTCTGCAAATCAACGGAGCAGATTCAAACTATATTATTTCGAGGGCGATATTATCAACAAAAAATGAAAATGTCGATAAGATTAATGATCAATTGATTGATAGATTCTGCGGCGATGAAAAAGTTTACTACAGTTTTGATGGAGCAGAAGATGACATAAATAACTTCTATCCAATGAAGTTCTTAAACTCGCTGACTGTCAGTGGTTTGCCCCTGCATTACCTCCGGCTCAAAATTGGATGCCCAATAATATTATTACGGAATATCAATCCCTCTAATGGCTTATGTAATGGCACCAGATTGATATGTAGAGGTTTTCAACAGAACGTTATCGATGCAGAAATAGTTGTTGGTCAGCATGCTAGAAAGAGAGTATTTTTGCCGAGAATTCCTCTTTGTCCATCTGAAGATAACATGTTCCCCTTCAAATTGAAGAGAAAACAGTTTCCAGTCCGGCTTAGCTTTTCTATGACAATCAATAAAGATCAAGGACAAACCATTCCTAATGTAGGTGTGTATCTACCAGAATCARTATTCTCTCACGGACAACTTTATGTGGCGTTATCAAGAGGGACATCACGTGAAAATACAAAGGTATTAGTAAAGCCTGCCAAAAAATTCAATCGTGACGGAGTCTACACATCAAACGTGGTGTATCAAGAAGTTTTACGTGATTAATAAGGTACAAACGAGTACTTATTATTGCACATTTTTTAACAACTACGCTTGGTATGTATCTATTATAATCATAAGACATTTCTTACAGGGTATATCTACATATGGATGCTTCAAGTGGTATCTTCTCATATTCTGTATGTGTTGATTTATATTATTTTAGATGATTATATATCCGTTTTGTTTAAACATGATTTTTGGTTTTTTTTTGTTGATCATGAGTTGCATTAAGTGAAAAACATTATTAAACAATCTAAGAATAACAATTGATGTGTGTTTGGAAATCCGTTAATCATGCAATTCTCTTTTCAAATCTTCGGTTAATCAAATGTAATAAAATTTGAAGTTTATAATGATCATAAACGTCATACCTTCTATTTACAAAAAACATTCACATCACGCCACATTGCGCGGGTATCCAACTAGTGAGATATAAACCAGCCAATGGTGAAGAATGAGAAACGATTTAGGGTTTGTAATCATGTACTTTTGATATAACATGAAACTATGTCTTCATAGTGTACTAGTTGTGTACACATGCAATGCGGCAGGAGCCGTGAATTTTAACGATTTTGAAGTTTCACTGGTTTTATTAGAGAAGATTTAATAATGATATATAATTTACATTTGGTCTTTACATATTAATACAATTTGAATAAATAAGAGTTATGGTTCCAATTACAGTCTATCGATGAAAAAAATTGTATGACAGTTTAAAATCCAATATATTTAAAATCCAACATATTTAAACGACTTCACAAATGTGTCGATTTACACCAAGAGCAAAGAATCAAGAGATGGAGACCGAGACCGAGAGTTCTATAGCAATTGAATGGGAGAACTTTTAATAACTCATGGTGAATATCAGTTTGATCTCACCTTGGGGGATGGGGAGAAGACATAGAGGTATGAGAGGGTGAAGACATAAGTAAAAGGTGTCAAAAGTATCTTAGGAACATGAAAAGAAAAGGTAATAATRTGCATTGRTAACTTGTACAATATGTTATTTTAATTGTAGATTAAGAGATTTTAAGACTGAATGCATAAACTAGTAGTACTTAATGCATTATGAGTTGTTTTTAAGACTTTTAAGACTTTGTGCATTAAAAATTGTTTTTAAGACTTTTGATAAATTTGGTTTATAAGGTAKTATAGATATAATSTATGTTATTTCCCAYAGTGACCATGTGYTTTTCTTTACCTTGTAGGGTACATATGCAAAGATTGGCTGTACTCAAGGGTGGTTTGCAGCATCTCTATTCCATCCTTCTTCAAAGTGAGTTCATTGACATGGTTCCTTATGAAACTATTAAATGGAGATTAGAGATGCAAATTAGGTGGGTTTATRTAATGGGTTTATTGTTTAACCGAATAAAATAAATCGGGCTGAGTTGGGTTAAGTTTTGCATATTACATATCTGGGCCGAGTTTGCATCATTTGTGAGAAGCTTAATTTGGTTTGTTTCCATGAGCAGGTACTAGTTGTTAACGTTTTCCCAATGCAGGAATATAGCCCAACTTATGAASGTTAAGATTATGCAAAGGCATGGCGGGTGGAAAGACCTCAAAGTACATCATAGGTAATAATAGATGACTACATTCCTTCCATTGTATTTTATCCTTGTWTTTTATTATGTTTTCTTCAACTTTTTGCTGCACCAATCAATTGGTTACTTGACAAATGCACTTGCAGATGTCTGTATGCTTCTAATTCGTCCTGAATTTCTCATTAATCGGATCCTTTTTTCTAACAAACAGGATTGATGTGCATATCTACTGCTATTCTGTAGCTAATAAGTAAATATCTAATCCTTGATATTTTTAGTAGTTCGCATGCTATTTCATAYAGAAAGTAAATGATGCAGTAGGAAAACATAGAAGGATTGACAAGCGTAAATCCTCAAAGGGTAAGGAGTTTACAAGCGTAGAACTTAGGAATAAGAGAAAAATCTTAAAAGTAGAGACAAAGCTCTAAACTTTTCATTTCATCAATCAATAATCTGAATAATGAAAACAAAGAACCTTTATAGGCTAAAAGGAGAAGAAACCTAAACCTAAACCAACTAGGAAAATACTTAAATAATTAATAAAAAGGAAATTTTATAATAAACCTAATCTAATTAGGACGAAAATAATTAATAATGGTTAAAGAAAATCCAATGAAAAAGGAAGAGATTTTTAGACAAAAATCCGTCCAGGTGTCCACAGGCGACCTGCGTGGACGACTGTTTTCTGCCATCGATGCAGGATTTTGAAGACAAATCCTGCTTCTTTCGAGCCTGTTTCCTTTTCCCCTATTGATCCTCAAAGAGGCATGTTAACTCTCGGATCCATGCTACATCAGTAAAAGAGTGGAGATATTTCAAATAGTTCCTATTGAATTCCTTTTAACAGAATGATCCTTTGGGAATTCATGGATAAGGACCCTAAAAGKGAAAAGGCTTGAACCAAATTCATGCCTACCTTTTCCATAATTGTTATGCTGTCATTTTCTGCAATCCTGAGAAACGATACCCATAATTTTTTTTACTGAAGTTGGTAGTCGAGCTCAACTAACAAATAAAAGCCAGACCTTGGGGCTCCTCACCGTAGGTCCATCAGTTCAGGTATCTTAGGGCCACTGGGGACTTTCCTGACTATTATCTTCAGGACCCATGGGATTAGTCGAGGTGTGCACAAGTTGGCCTGGACACTACAATTACCAAAAAAGTTGGTAGTCGATGCTATTTTCTTTTATTAACCGTGATTTAATATAACATCATCCTTCTTGACTTGCAGTATCAGATCAATTTTATGCCTCAACTTGCCTAGTTTCTCTGGGGGATTAAATCCATGGGGAACGCCAAACAAGGACAAAACTCGTGATGTTAGTCCCATTTTTTCTTCTCTTTTTTCATTTGTGTTCTTTTTTACCGTTGGTTYAGTTCAGGATAAAATGGAAGTCTTTTATTGGGATGAATCTATCTTAAAAGTCCTTGGAACATTTTCTTGTTTCTGAGAAAATTGACACCTCCATATGTAGATGATGGGTTTCTTGAGATTGTTGGTTTCAGAGATGCATGGCATGGTCTGGTTCTACTTGCACCAAAGGGGCATGGCACCCGTCTTGCACAGGTTAAAACTGAATCCAACTTTATATGTATATATATATAATATACATATCATATATATACATATATATATATATATATATATTAATAGGTCATCAAAGGATTTGGATGAGAATATATTACTTGTTATTATAATCAATAATCTGAAATAAATTGATGATGTTTAGACACAGAGAGTGAGATTCGAATTCCATAAGGGTGCAGCTGAGTGCGCATATATGAGGATGGATGGAGAGCCTTGGAAACAACCTCTCCCAGTAAATGATGACACAACGGTTGTTGAAATCTCACATCTTGGACGAGTGAAGATGCTTGCAACACAGAATTGCAWATCGAGGAGTGTTAATGCTCCCTCCACTCCTCATCGTCATGAAGAAGATAGTGGTGACAGTGAGGACGAAGAGGATCCTCCTACAGGCGAAGAATGGAGAAAGTTTGGGGCAGCCGAAACATTTAAGATCCCAGAAGATGTGGACATCTCTCTTCTCAGTTAGGTATGTTTCTCGCTACTCAATCAGGGTACATGATTTAGTATGCCAAACTTCAGCGTGTTAAGAATTTGTACATATACATACATACATGCGTTATTTATTCATTCAATGCAGCTAAAAGCCCGAGTAGGCGTTGATGAAACAAGATTGCGCTTTCATCCTGAACTAAAACCGAGTATGCAGTCATGTCTGTATTGCAACCTTATATATAACGACCCTTATTTATAATATCTATGTTTGCTCTGTGTGTATATATATCTAGAGGAAATTGTAGTACGTTGAAATGATTGGAATTCCAGGGTGTTAACGATGGAGTTGAACCGAGTAGAGCATGTTGTTTTTCAAAATGGTGTTCATGGCTCGAATAACTTTTTCAATGTCCCGTAGTTGTTTAACACTTTCGAGTGACACATTATGATCTAACGTTGAAAGTTGTATAAGCTTGTTTTATGAGTTCAAATACACGACTCGTTTATTGGCTCAAGACTCATCGACTCGTTTAAACAGCTCAGAGCTCGAAGAGATTTGGTTTTATACCACAATTAGGGCTTGATAAATATGTTTTGACAACTTACATAAGTTGCATGACATGCAATTATTATCCTCATTGCATTATGAAACAACATGCCATTTCATAGGCATTAAGTAATGGTAATGGTACCATTGTTTTTCATGTTCAAAATAAAGAAAATTGAAAATGAAATTACAATATCCAGAAACGTAATTTTCACCTTGTCGATATCGCGGAAAAGAGGACACGACGTGAACCAAGAAGCAAAACATAACGACACCGTTGATTAGCAAGTGTTGAATGTTAACTGACATAACAAGACTTCCAATGTGTTAACCATAAAAGAAAACCAAATCAAAGTAAAGGTTGAGTTCCGATGAAAATGAAAATCATGGTGTCACATTTGTGTAAAAGATTTTGAAAACCGATAATGTGGCACACTTGTGGTGTCACATTTGAGTCCAAGAAACTCATTTCTAGGCCAATTTACCCCTTTTCTTTGCATTGTGACGAAACTAACATGCAATATACTCTCTTGGCATATACCAAAACAACGACGTAATCAACGTTCACATTTTAATCAGGGGCAGACCCGGTGTGTAAAATAAGGTGGCATAGGTCACTGCTTCGTTCCTCCATCGTAAGGTAAAAACGTTTAGGGTTGTGAAAGGTTTCAATGTCAGATTCTAAGCTTGTTGCGAGAATTTCTGTATGCTCAAATTAGTAATCTAGAAGTCACAAATACTTAATACACATGTTCGTTAGTGAAAAAAATGACTGATTTGTTAAATCATAAAAAAAACAAAGATATCAGATATAAGTTCGAATAGAAACCAAAACTTACATTTGCATAACGTCATCCAACAAACTCATTATGTTTACATAAGGTGCAACCATGGGAAGACAAAGTTAGAGAGATGTTCAATCAGGGGAGTATTAGATAAACTACAACAAATTGAGGTTATAGGACGCTAAATATGTCTAAGTGTGCTAATAAATTGTTTTATAGACTTAAGTTTATAAAACCCAACAATAAAACGTCTTATCTAAAAACGTTACAATAAATTTATAGTCGTTTTTAAGCATTTTAACAAGTTTTTTTTATAGCATTTAATTGTTTTATTTTATCATCGATCATGCAGGTGGGGATTGATCTAGGGTAGTGATGGCCAGACCGGACCGGGACCGGCCAAGGACCGCCCCGTCCCGGGAACGGTAAGGACCGGTTATGGATTTTGGGTGTTTCGCGGGACCCGTTAAGGACCGGCCCAGCCCGGTTTTTAAAAAATGTAACTATTTTTTTTTAAAATGTAGCCGTTATTTTTCAAAAAACTAGCCGTTTTTGGCTCTTTTTTTTTTGTATTTTTTGCTTTCAAAACACTATATATAAATGTCTTGGTTGATAGATTTACATACCAAGTTCTCGATTCGTAAAAAACGCAAAAAAAAAAAAAAGGTTCATAATTATCGGTTTTTCACTATATTTTGTAAGACAATGTAATTTTAATTATAATAAAACGCATTTTTAAAGTGTATTTGAGTGACCCAATTACAAATTTTATAACGTATTAAAAATATATATCATTAAAAAAATAAATATAAAAAATTTATTTTTTAATGACCGGGACCGACGGCCCATAATCGGTTACAATAAAGCTTGACCGGACTCAACTTTTTCGACCGGGGACCGGTTATGAGAAATCTTGAGACCGGTTGGGACCGTCCCGGCCCGGAAGCAGTTTTTGGCCATCACTGATCTAGGGTTTGAATATGGGTTTTAATTAACATTGAATTATTTTATTTTATATTTATAATATATAATATTAATCTACTTTTATTTTTATAAAAGGATAACAGTAAGAAGAAATTTCCACTCATGTAAACGGTACATAATAGATTTTATTGGCATTTGGCTAACGATATTAACTCGAGGAATTTGTTTAATATGTGAAACACAAAATATGGATCATTGCTGTAATTAATGAACTTTAGGGTGCGTTTGATACGCAGATTGTATGAAACTGGACGAGACAAAAATAAATAGTCTCATGTTTGGTGTATCATAGAATAAAAATGAGATGAAACAACACGAGACAAAAATAAGATTTCAGATCATTGCAAAACAAAAASGTTATATTATTTTAAGACAAAATCCAAATAAAAATATTGCATTTTAAAGAAAAAGATAAAAAGAGAATAGTTACCATTTAATTAGACAATGAGTTGAAAACTAACATGTGGATGTGATCATTTTTGAGATTGATTGTAAAGAGTTGTGGCCAATGTGAGAGTTTTGAAACTTTGAGTCTACAATGTGAAATATGATTATAGATATTTACAAAAACCGCCATTTTCCCTAATGACGTCATCACTTGTGTAATGAAATTCGGGTTTCTCCCACGTTTTATGATATTCCTCAAACTTAATCAATAATGCATTATATTTTAGATTTTTTTGAATAAATTAATATTTTAAATAATTTAAATTATAAAAATAACCTATAAAAAATTATATTTTAAAAAATGTTCCCCCCATTTAACACTACATACTGCTTGGTGTGTATAGAAGTGGAACACAAATGAACTGAATGAACAATAAGAGAGGGATCCAAAAGAATTTTATACTTAAATCCTTAATAAAATAGAGATGTTTCATTTTATCTATAAAAAAAACCTAGGGGCCAAGGCCCTAATGGCCATTTGCCCCTGGGTGCGTAGGGGGGGCTTTTTTTGCAAAAAAAGGATATTCAAATATGATAATGTGATCCTATTGATATAGAGAAGGTTGATGGTTTAGCACCAACTATTGTGTAAGAGGCCCACCTAGCCACACCTTACTTTGATTTCTATTTTGTCAATTTTCCTTTCCCATATATATATAGAGTTTGTTTCAAATACAACCCATTGCATTTGTACAACCAATGCAACCCAATAATTTGAGATATTTATAGAAATGATGAGAGTTCATTTATTATAATTTGAATATATATGGAAAATGAATATGATTCATTAATTATGATCATTACTTTATATTAAGAAACAATCAAAACTTCTATGAAATCACATATTAATCAAATGAAATGGACGGTTGAGATTGGGTTGCATTGGTTGCACAAATGACGAAGGTTGTATAATAACCAACCTCTCTCTCTCTCTCTCTCTCTATATATATATATATATATATATATATATAGACTTGGGATCATGTGAGACCAGCTTGTTTT